AAGTCATAGAAATCCGTGCGATAGAGAAAGATGGCTATAATGAAGGCGTCTAATAGTCACCGCCCATTTCGCCCTTCCACAAATAAGAAGTGGATCTTATTTGTGGAAGGGCGAAATGGGCGGTGACTATTAGACGCCTTCATTATAGCCATCTTTCTCTATCGCACGGATTTCTATGACTTTCTTTATCGCTCTCACGTAACGGCCGATGAACCATTGGGACTTTCCGACCCTGTATAATTGGGCTCGCTGAATCCAAATCCACCTTTAGAAATCTGTACAGCACACCTCATTTTTTCTAACCTCAAAAAAATCGGTTCGAATCGCAAATTCAACATGGCTGATCCAATATGGTGGACCAAGGTCTAATATGGTTGATTTTGTGGATGACGTGTGAACGCAGTCCTGACAGTGGATTCAGATTCAGCGCGTCAAAATCCATAGGATTTACCAGTTTGGTCAAAACCATATGACACTTTTTTTTGTGGTTATGTAATCAAACAGAAAACACAACACGAAGAACTTCACGAACACAGTTAGTACAGACGGCGAGTATAAACAAACAAAGATACAGCCAATATTAATACACAGACAAGACTGGCGTAAAACGTATTTTTTTTTCATATCTAAGTATTGGGGAACTCCATATTATATTAACTGTTAGGGTAGGACTTTATAAATTAAACTTAAGTGTGTTTACATTTTATTTAAAAATAACTGACAATTTCGTTTCAATAATCATAGTACATAGTCAAGAGCTGGCCATTTTGATGCGAAGGTGACATTTTCCCTTTAGAAGCACATTAGGTAAACTTCTTGAAATATCAGTTAACGATAAATTGTAAATAAGTTATAATAAAATATCTCTTCTAAATTTTGTCATGCTGCATTGTACTGATATTTACAAACACCTAAGTATATGCATTTAACAGAACAAACAATTACCATTAATATAAATACATTATATTTATAATATTTATAGTATATAAGAGAATTATTCCGTTATACATTTATTCAAGGACGTCTTCTGTCAAATTGTGCCACTGTTCGTGCCTATGGTCCGGGTACCTGATCATATCTAACCAGTGCTTCAATCTTTGACCTAAGAATATGGTTAACATAATCTAATGTTTTTATATAAGAATATGGGCAATGGTCATATACAGACGACTCCTTCGTCAGCCCAGAAATCTCTTTCCCAAACGTAAGAGCAAGAAAAATATAGCTGCGATTATTGCTGAGTGATCTGAATGCGACCAATGTTATATATCCATACTATACATTAGTACATATTCAGTAGTGGTAAGTAAGAAAAATTTTATTATATAAATAAAAATAAAAACAATTTCATGTAAACATGTATTCATACCTAATACATACACATACAGACAGAGATAAACACAGACAGAAAGACATGGAGGCAGACACGGAGACTAAGACAGATTCAAACAAACAGTATACAGTCAGACAAACAAATCGAGCACAGGCACATAAAGATACAGAGATAGACAGAGCGATAGATACAGCGATAGACACAAACAAACAGAGAAGATATACAAGACATGCTGACAGACAAGACACACAGATAATCAGACAGACATAAGACAGATATATAGAGAAGACACGGCATGATGAATAGGCATAAAAAACCGGACAGGCAAGACAATCAGAAAGACAACAGAAAATAATGGCAAACCAGGTAGAAGAAAGTAGCAGTAGAAGAAAGCAAAACAGGCAAGAAAATATATACAGACAAGACAAAACAAATAGACAGACGAATAAGAGAAAACATAGAAGCTGACAAGGTATGTATATAAGACAGACAGACAAGACGAGATATAAAAAGATAAAGCAGATAAGACAAGATACACATATAAGGCAGACAAGACATATGGACTGATGTTATAACATGGACGAAAAAGATAAAATAGACAGCCAAGACAAGACAGGCAGAGAGAAAACAGACAAGATAAGCAAACAAGACACACAAGACAAAAAAAACAAACAACAAGAAAACTGTCAGGTGAGCAGTAGCAACCCGTCAGATAAGACGAAAGAGGCATAAATAGGACAGACAAGACAAACAATCTGACACGTAGACAGGACAGATGAGCAGACAAGCAAGAAAAGGCCAACAGACGACCAGACTACTTTGTTTGTCTTTTTTAATTTTCCTGTCTGTTTTATCTGTCCTTTCGTTCAGGTAGGGCTGTAAGCATATTTGGAGGTACTACCGCGTGTTAAAAATTGTAGATACTGTAGAGAGAAACGGCGATAGTTTAGATGCTTGCTCTTTCTCTCTCTTAATTTTATTTGAATATCGTGAGGGAGTTGAGTTAGCCAAGACAGAGAGACAAGTTATATCCAGCTGTCTGTCTTTTTTATCTATCCGCTTTATCTGTTTGTCTGTTTTACTTATCTTATCTGTCTGATTTGTTTTCGTATTTCATCTAGTTGTCTGCCTTAATATTTTGTTCGTCTGTCCACAGGTCTTTCTTGTCCGTCCATCTTTCTATTTACATCTTCATCTGTCTGTCTTGTCTGTCTGTCTCGTCTGTCTGTTTAGCTTTCTTCTGTATTTTTCTGGTATGTGTGGTTCATCTGTGAGTCTCATATTCCTATTTACCTCTCTCGTCTGTCTGTATTATCTCGTTTATTTGACGGTTTCTTTGCCTATTTGTCGGCTTATATTTCTAGTCAGTTTGGCTATCTCGCCCATCTGCAGTATATGTCTTATTTGTCCAGTTTTACCTGATTTGAGATTTCTTCTTTTACCTCTCTCTCTCTCTCTCTCGTGCCCGTTTGTCTTCTGTTTGTCTGTCTGTTTCATGTGTCCTGTCTATCAATCTGCAGTGGCTGTCTTGTCTATCTGTTTCGAGTTGTATTTTCTCGCTTTATCTATCTTTTCTGTGCGATCCGTCTTATATCTCTCTTATTTTCCTTAGGCAAGTTCGGTATCTACAATTAAAAAAGTTCAAAACACATCTGGAGCGTCTAGATGTTAATACCGAACTTGCCGCTTGTCCCGCTTGTATTTTTCTGTATCCATTTATCTATCTGCACCTCTGTCCGCATGTATATACGTATATCATATAGTTAATCATAGTTTAATTCATATTGCAGTCAAAGCTATTGAAATATTTGTAAATAAAAATGTTCCACTACTGATTAATCATTAAAAGTGAAAAATAATAACAGATATTCTTCTTACCCTTTGACCCTGTTCCTCCTAGAATCAAACCGCCAAGATAATCGTTGCTCTTTCCGTAGTCCTTGTCGAAAACTGTGATATAGAGACTCTGTGTGTACAACTCGGTTGGTCTTGTTTCAAAGGCAAACTCTTCGTTATAAACAGGATTCAAGTTCTTCCATTTGATCGAAGTTTTGTGTTTTCTATGATATGGATCCGGTTTCAACTGACTGAAATATAAAATTAAAATAATACTCCTACATTAGTTGGTCCTGGCGAAATGGTCAAAGTATTATTTCACCAACACGTGAAAACAGTGAAAACGCAGAAAATATATTCAATAATTAAAAAGAGTTAGCATCATTACGTAACCAGTCATTTTCAATTTTATGTTTGTAAACATATTCTAAATAAAACATTTTATGAAATAAAAAATTGTTTTGGTTTTCATTTCCCAAAAAAAAAAATCCATAAAAGTTTATGTTGCTAAACACGGCTGAAACTCATATTCTTAAAAAAGGGTTAATATTTGGGTAGGCCTTTAAGACATTTGCAAAATAAAGGAACAAAATAGTACAACAGACTTTGACAATTAGTGAAATCGTGACCGAGAAAATGAAATAAGGATGATCAAGATGAGATATAATCTTAACTGCTAAGTTTATTTATTAAAACTGTTAACTTAATTATTTTTTGCATAGTAATTTTTTTAACTGTCAATCTCTTTTAAACAAAACAAAGACCGAAAGCCTTCAATTTGATGTATTTCTACTACACAAATTAGCACTTGACTGGTGCGCACAATCCATTATACGAAACTTTATCCTTTTAATTCCATAATTATAAGGAAAAGTTAAACATTAAGGACGCCCCATTTAAATGAAGCCTTAACGGCATTTATAACGACCTACTTACATTTAATTCAAAGGACTTAAACAGGATTTTCTCCAAAATAATTTAACTTCGTCAAGGATGAGCACTCTCCCAATTAAGCATTCCATTTTTTAATTAAGGCTAAACAATAAATTCAAATGGGCTTTAAATTGTAATGGGACTTTCATCCGCGATTGAATTACCGAGTTTGCCTGGGAATTAATCAATTAGGCATACAGAGTGCATTAAAAGTCGCGCATAAGCTTATTTTCTACCGCGAAATTTTCTTGCGATTTCAAAAAAAATATATATACCTACGTAACAAAAATACAATTAACAGCTGTATTTTGAAAATGTAATCCAAACTTTTGTTTTTTCAAAATGGAGCACCCTTCATATTTATAATTTGTTATAATCCTCTCCTTTTTCTAATTACAGTGATTACAGTACAACTCATAGTCGTAATAAAGATCCCGACCGAATTTAAAAAATTTACTCATGTTTCCAATCAGGACCGCGAAGCCGTCAAAAATCGCTCCATACAGAGCCGAGTACGATGTTCTGAAGAACCCTAGCGCGGCGAGGACGAGTTTCACTTCACTTTCCAAAATCCCGTCGTTGCGCTGAGAACCTCTCCAAGCAGCCACAAACCGCTCTAGGTACAGCAGTCGATACTGTCAGATGTGAGTGAGGTCAGTGAGGATGACGCGCCACGGGAATTGCAAAGTTTCACCTCACTTTCCAAAATCCCGTAGTCTAAACCACTCCAAGCGTAGCAGACGACACCACCAGAGGCCAATGCTGTCGACACCGCCAGAGGCCGATCCTGTTGACGGAGAGACTGAGAACGACGCGCCACGGGAATTGCAGTCTCTTCATAATTTACAAAGTTTCCGCCGTCGCTCCAAAAAAACCGGTCCGAACAGTCCCCGCCGCAATGGTCAACATCGCCAGAGACCTATGCTGTTGGCGCAGCTGCAATTGACAACGACGCAACTTAAAGGAAGGAAAGCCGTTCCAGGTTCGGATTTTGGAGATGAAAAGTTCTTCGAATTCGACGAAATCCGAACTAAAGGGGAGCGGAACAACAGTAGTAATTACATAAAAGCCAATACAGAGGGATCCCTAATGCTAGAGACCCAGAAATGGAAAGAGAGGCGAATTCGAGAATTGGGAATGGTGCCTTACTAAACTGAACCACGCAGCAGAGCACTTGCGTTACTGCCACAGCTTGTGTACGAACGTCAAGGTGCAATTAAAAAGGCTCCTAAAGCTTACAGGCGCTCTTTAGAGGCCTCAAATAACGATTATAAACTGATGTGCTCCTTAAAACCTAAGTGCAAAACAATCTAAGGTTGGTTCGAATTCTTCAAAACCAATTTTTTTAATTCAAACGCCTAAGTGAAGTGTCTAAGTGCGTCTAAGGACCTAAAAATAGAGCTTGGACCATTATCCTAAAGCCAGCTGCAATAGCCCAAGGATGATAAAATAGGAAAATCCAAGGAACTAATCGGCAGTTAACTGGTCAAACCAATCTTGCGACTGCATCACATCATATTTGCTTTGACGGTTTGCACAATATTTTACTGACCCTTCACAAAGGAACAAACGCCTTCCTTCTATTAAATTTACTAAACACATCTTTAAATATGCTATAAAAAATACTACGAGGCATATCCACACAGTAAAAGTACTCAATTTTTTAAAAATCGAAACGGCGGTATATTTATGAAAAATTGACATATTCAGAAAGGTACATTAAACACTATTTTTCGACGTAGTCGTCTTCAATCTCAATGCACTTTATGAGCCGAGTCTTGATGAGCTTTCCGATACCTACGTCAAAAAAATCTACCGGCGCCTGTCGGGCCCATTATATCACAGCACTGTGGATCTCATTGTCGCCGTCGGCAGAAAATCTTTTTCCACCTTCAGGGAAGAGAAAAGATAAAAATAAGAAGGTACCAGGTCAGGACTGTGAATGGGGTGGTGGATGATGATCCAACCGAATGAATGCTTTGTGGTTTTGACACTCCCTTCGTTAATATTCAGTTTCATTTGTTCTGTAGTGTTTTCAGGGTTTCAGAAAATATCGTCTTTCTTCATCATCAACAATCGTTCTGCCAGCTTTATACTCACGACATTGTACACATTAGTACGATTCATCACATACGCTATCCTCATAAACAGTTTTGATTTTGTTGAAAATCTGGAAGGGCGCGTTTCCCTTTGGATGAAGTTGACGGAATTTGGAATAACGGCACTCACTTCAACACGCCACTACAACAACAGTTCTGAACTGACTGAGACAAATGAGTGCACGTTCTGCTCTCAACATCTTGGCCTTGAATGCAGTACTGCCAACATTGTCGAAAACAAAAATCAAAAAGCATAAGAATCTCAGTACTATGCCTCATGTATTATAAAAAAGTGTTTTATAATAGCTTCATTGTGTTCTAAACAAAGGATATTTTTAAATAAATGTTTTTTGTGAAGGGCAAGAAGTCCTAATTCGACCTCCGTTTACTTGTTTCTATGAGGGATTCTCAAATATAAAGTAAACAAAGAAAGATTTAATAATTTATATGATCCAAAGGAGAAAATGTTGAACGAAGTTCAACGAAGTTCTATAAATACTTTGCGTAGAACAGTACGAAGATATTATAAAACATTTTTTGTAATAAAATATTTTTTCTTGATACAGAATTTAAATATTTATAAGTAAATTGAGCAGCGGCAATCACACCAATGCAGTGGTCCCATGGCAATCTTGACTAAGTGCAGGATCAGTAAATAAACCAAAATATTATGTAAACCATGAAACAGAAATCCAGAAAATGATAAATATAGCAGATGTTCCATTTAAAAAGCAAACACGTGGTTTATATCTTCGGAATGCAACAATTGTTATATATTTCTTTGTAATCGTAGGAAAATTTTCTAAAACTTCGGTCTTTACTATTTTTTCTCATACCTATAGAATGTGTATGTTGATGAACATAAAGAATTATAAGCACCTAATTCCTAAAACTGATTTATAAGCATGCCTATTACAAATTTTGACCTTTCTCTCTTATTTTGAGCAGTTCGATCATCAGGTGTGAGGGAAAGGATCACGACTTGGCATAAGGATATATTTATGATAATTACATATTTATGTAATTATCATTAAATAAGTTTTGATTTTTATTATAAAAAAATTGTTATTTTCCGCAAATACCCTGGGAAACTTTTAACACGCAAGAAAATAAACGTCCGTGACAAAAGTTTGAGAACCGCTGACACACATAATATTAGTACAAAAATGTAGCCCAGACGGAAAACAAGAAACATTATTTACTTAAATTCCACGAGTTGTTCCGTTCGAAAGAAAAAGAGACGTGCTTTGATGATTTTTTTTCTACGAATACAACAGGGTGGGCACGTCCCCCAGGCCGACGTCCAAATAGAGCTAATTAGCAAGTATACGGTTTTAATTGAATAAACCCTCGTCGGTTTGTTATCTCGAGATCTTTTACGCTGTAAATAATTAACCCTCAAAAAAAAAGACAAGTAGCCGGGTCGCCTCTAACGGGAAATGCCTCGCGTACGAAACGGAAGCGATTTATTTAAACGTAGGCGTATGGTCGCAAATAAATTTTACTTTGTTAACCCCACGATTTTCACGGTTGGAGGGATAAAGCGGAAGACAAGTCTTCCTCTTTGCGTGTTCATATTTGTTGGGAAACAAAGTTCGTTTTTGTTGTTGCCGCTTTTTTATTAAGATTGATTGTTTTTGAAATATACTAATGGATGTATCGATTTGCTGATTATAAAACTATTTAAAAAGAGCTACAAGGATATTATAAACTAACAGGGATACATAGTGCCTCAAATTACAAAAAGTTTCATAATATTCTGGTGGTTTTCTTTTCTACAAATCAGATCTGAAACATTTCAACAAGTTCTTGAAATGCAAGGTGTCTAAGTTGTATTGTTCCAATGGCATATCTCAATTACTTAAAAAGCATGAGTGTGAAATTTGGGGCATCTGATATACATATAAAAACATATTTAATTTGACCCTAATATTAAAATTCTTTCACTTCTGGTTTAACCGGAAATGACCCTAATATCATAGACAATATAGCTTCGCCCCTGATCGCTACTGGAATAGGACAGTAGTTTTAAATTTCCGAATTGCCGATAGAGTACACCACCGGAGAATTTTAGGAAGAATCAAATGCAGCGGCCCGCATTCCTACGTGTTTCCTAGCAACATATAAACAACAATTTAGCAATGTTGCAAGGCGTACTTACGGATTTATTTTGTACACTTTTTTTTTATATATTATCTGTTATTTGAGTTACTGTATTTACCTAAATGTATGGTGTACTTACGTATGATAAAAATGTTTTAAAGAATATCTATGTAGTTTGATATGATATTCTGCAGCAGTGTCTAAGTTAGATTATTTAGTCATAATTTCGTTAATTAGCTATTATTTTCATTTGATATACTGCAGAAAATATATTTATTTCCAAATAAACAAAATTCGTAATATTTTAAACAGCTTGTAATATAATTTTTTTTAATATTTGATGATGATGATAAATTTATTTAATATACAAGGTGGGTTATTAGTACGTTACGGAATGTAGGTACAGTTTTTTTTTGTTTAATAATTAAAGATAAAAAAACTTTAAATACAAATGTACGACTTTTCTTTTATTTCTTTTGACATCAAAATTTGCCGGCATAAAATATATGTTGAAAGTAAAAAACCATTAAAAAAATAAAATTCATCCTTATTGAAATAACAAACATCGATTTTTATAACTAACATTTACAACAACATAAGGAGAATACCTAAAAATGAAATAACATTAAAATACCTACAATTTTTACAAATTTTCAACATGTGATGATACAGTTGAAAATATGCTTTAATTTACTATTTATTGCTTTAAAAACATATTCAGAATTATCAAACATTTGGTCCTGTATTTTTTTTCAATACTTGTAAATTTTGAGGTCTTTAAAATATATTTTATTGAAGTGTCCTCACAAAAATATGTCTAATGGACTAAGATCGGAACTGTTTTCTGGGCAACTAAGGTTTCTAATATTTTTTACACTGTTCATTGACGGGATTTGTCCTCCAAAATAAATTTGCCGATATTCCTGAAGAACTTTTGCACATTATTATTTGAATAATACAGTTTAATTAGTTTTAATCAGAATAATAAGAAGTGGATCTTATTTGTGGAAGGACGAAATGGGCGGTGACTATTAGACGCCTTCATTATAGCCATCTTTCTCTATCGCACGGATGTCTATGACTTTCTTTATCGCTCTCACGTAACGGCCGATGAACCATGGAGGCTTTCCGACCCTGTACACTATTTTTTTATAATTTGTTATTTCAAAAAACGTCGAGTAATGTACGTATTGCAGCATACTGCATATTATTCAATTTTTTTAATTCACAATTTTGTCGTTTATAACAGTAACTTAACAAAATTAATTGAAAAATGTTGAATAAAAAAAATAAAAAAAACAGTGTACCTGAACATAAAAATTCCTTACTTTTTAAAAAATATATTATATAAGTTTATTATAAATGCACGGTATCAATCATTCAATGTGGTAACTTAAATTTCTAGTCACACTGAGATAGCATGTTTTCGTACTAAAGCGTCGATATACTAAAGAGGCCGTACAACTCGGAAAATCGAAAAAATAATTAAAAAAATCTCCCCACACCTCAGGTTGTGATTATCCCTTCTGCGTTGAATGGAAAAGGTCCGAAGTCCGTCTGTCGAAAAACAAAAAAGTTCAATAGTCAATAATTGCAACAGCAGTAGCGAACGCATTATCTTATGATTGATTGATTTGTTGTTTTTTTTTTAATAAATTTCGTATCAACCACCCCTTGAGGTTTCAACAATGTTATTAAATAAAAAAACTAAGGTACTATTAAGGAAATTTTATATTTTTAAATTTTTTTGAAATAAATAATTAATTAGAATTAATTCATAGTTTTAATTCTAACTTGATTTATTTTATTTAGCATTTAAAACAAATGTAATTTCCAAACAAAAGATAAGTTCCATATAACTCTTCAATTACATAAATAAATGCATTAAATTTATTTGGCAACAAAGCCACCGCTAGAACTGCCTCCTATTACCGAGCAGAAGAGTTACCATGCTAAATTTTATTGCTGGATGCCGGCTAACAAGACCCTGCATCCATTTTAGTCAGCCAATTTCCAGCATTTAAAGCGCAGTCTGTGGCTACAAGCTATACTATCTGTTGTAACATTTTTGTTTTAATTACACCATTTATATTAGATATTCTTAAAATTTGAATTCTGCAAAAAAATCACCTAATGTATGTACACTTCAAAAATTGTGAGTCCCTTCTATTCCATCGTCGAAAATAAAAAATTACAGCGGGAATAACTTGACCTCTACCTGACCTTGATCTTTGACCTTAAGGTCAGGTTTAAGACATGTTGAATTCTACGCTCTCTTATTTATAGCGTCGAAATAAGGGGTCGCTACTCAACCTTGACCTCAAGATCAAAGTCACTAAGGAGTACCTACCATCAAGTATCTACAGTACAGTAAAAATGAACAATTGACCTTAAACTGACCTTGACCATTGACCTTGAAGTTAAGGGCAATGTCATATTCGGATGCAAAATTTACTCTTTTCATTTCCGGAGTCAAAAAGGAGGGTCGCCATTTAAAAAAACCGGCTTGATCTTGATATGACCTTGAATCTTGACCTTGAACCCAAGGTCAAGGTTACCATAGGATGCGCTGTGAAAAATGCTGAGACCTTCGTCATCACCATTAATTCCAAAAATGCTTTCCTGCTGAGATATTTTGGAGTTTTCATTCTTTTGACTAACCCTGTATATAGAATTCTCAAATACTGAAACTGGCTTACGATGTATATCTCCAAATCTTAATCAGCTGGGTGAAGCATATACAAGAATAAGGGGTGATATTCCTCACCGCCAGAGAGTGCAAATCTTATAATGAGTGTTCTATAACCATTACTCACACTGACAAAAAAAAAGTGTGAGATCCGAAAGACAAGACCACCGTTGACCCAGTCAGGTCTGGGTTATGATCAAGTCAAGGTAAAATGCACAGAATCAATTTCCAACAAAGTAAACCTAAGTATCTATATGTTTTTGGGGACGGTAAATCCGACTCCGGTGTCCGTTTGACCTGATTAGGTCTAGATTAAGGTCAAATGTAGATAATCAACTGCTAACAAAGTAAACCTACGTATCTATACGTTTTTAGGGTCGCTGGATCCGAACCGTAGTCCGTTTGACCCTATCAAGTCTGCTAACTTTTTTTGTGGAACTGTATTATTAAACACAGAAAAATGTGTTAAAAAGTAGAGGAACGATCTACGTTCTACAATAGCTTTCGTAGACGTAGCTTACTGTTGAATATCATGCTGTGATATTTTGTGGGAATTTATTGCACATAGAAGTTATTAGTGAATTTACACTTGCTTGTACGTTCAAAGAGAAAATGATTTTTTACTCACAGCTTGACGAAGGGATCAGAGAATCCGTTATTGTCCATTGGGAGCAGGTTGACGCATCTGGCGACCGTCACCAAGAGCGCCCTCCTCTTCGTGCTGTAGCAGAGGGACAGCAATATCTGCCCACGAGACCACAGATCATCGAACCACTCGTTCATCTCCGGCGCTGGCAGCGGACCCTTCTGTTCTGAGCGCAAGTTCTCCAGTGGCACCGTTAACTGAAAAAATAAAAAATAATAGATGCGAATTGCGTGCGAAATTCAGGTCTATTTTTTTTATTACTTGAAATTAGATATACTTAAAGCTAATAAAGGTTGAACAATTTTTCGACTACTTATAATATACACTATGTGTCAGAAGTAAGTCATGTTTTGATCAACAACGACTGTTTTTCTTTAATAAATTTTACGAAAACCTTTTAGGTTTTTTTAACTTTGAATTTTTATTACCCGCTACTGGAACATCGAAACGAAACGTTTAGTTGAAGTAATAATGAACAAAATGTTTAAAAAAAATTGTTAAACAAAAGCTCGTGGTCTTGCCGAATTAAAAACGATACAATTTGGTGCTATAGATTTTGGCCAAATATTTTGCAAATATTTGAAACTATGTCTGGCAAATATCTGCCGACTGATCGCGTCATCCTTTAAAGTTTACGGGGTAAGACAAAAAAAATTGTATTGGGCGTTCTCAGTGACTTTTTTATTTTAGGTAAAAAATAAACTTACATTTATATACGTATCATCGAAATCTCTTAAAAATTTGCGGAATTATCGTAAAATACTAAACTAAAATAAAAGCCAGCAACTTTTTAAGGAAGCAAAAATTGTATCAAGGCTAAAGTTTCTCTCAAGAAAGCCCTCGAAGTCCATTCTTATAAATAAATAAACATTTTTAATTGAATTTTCCAGTGACTGAACAACTTCTTAATCAAACATTTGACTTAATGACCTTCATCTCATTACATTAAATCGGACGAAAATTAAAAATATTACAAAGATATTTACAGTCTTAAGTGGGAGATACTGGAGAAAAGCTGAAATCATATGGGCAAGATGCAAGATGCAAGAAATAATATCGGTGTAGGGCAGATTAGAAAAACAAAATATCTACTATCTGGAAATATGAAAACACGAGTCAGTTTTTTTTTAAGTTTTATAACAAAGTAAAAAATCTAAAGTTGAATTGAATGAATTTATTATACCATGAAAGAGAATGTCACTTTTCTTATACCTATATTTGAAATTGTACCTAAGAGAAAAACTTTACTTCCTAATCTGAGTCATCTTTCTATCCTCATAATAATAATGCTAATGTTGATGTATGGAATTTGAGATCAACTGTAAAATTACAATGAAAAGATTTACTAATCTTATTTTTTGAGATAGTTCAGTAATACAAAACCAATAGTTTATATAATATTTTTCTGTTCCGGCTTACAGAAATCCAACTAAAGATGTATGAACATATAGGGTGCAACTATACGACTAAATTATAGTATATCAAAGTTATTGCAAATCAATCCTCATAAAAATCTAAAAAGTTTCATGTATAGAGGGATTGTCCTTTGTATAGACTGTTATAAAATGACGATAACATTTTTTTAAAGTCACAAATTTGTGACTTCTCTATCTGCCTATCCAAATACATACAAGATTTTAAACGTCAATAAAAATAAATTTGATAAATCTATCCTTTTGGGACAACTTATAAAAATACTTTAATTCCTCTATTTTAGAAATTTGGTTGCAAATAATAGAAAATTACCTCAGCATTATGGGCAGATTTAACAAAATGTTCGAAAAAGTTTTCATATTAATTAAATTTAAAAAACATGGGATACGCTCAGACAGGATTGTTATTTATTTCATGTTATTTGTGCTGAACATGAAAGCTATCAAAGCACATGATGGCAGTTCAGAGAGATGCACATTCCCTTTTTTTGTCACAAATAAATAACTTGCACATTCTTTTTAATGAGTAGTATAGGTAGTATCAGTGACCGACGTAAAATATCAGCTATAAAAAAACAGGGGTATACTTTACTAGTGTTTGATTCACGTTAGATTAGGCCTTAATTAAATAAAACACGGTTCACTGTGTAATAGATGTTACCGTAGAGTCGTTTCGTATATACAGGGTGTTTCAAGAAGACCTCCCGTAAATACAGGGGGTGATAGTACGAAAAAAAATTAGAATTTTTTGTTTTATAACTATATGTCTATCTCCTCTTGTTTTCGAGATACAGAGCGACAAAATAAAATTTTTTAAATAGAATTTTTACGAAAATTTCCAAACGGTGCGAAATATTTTTATGAAATTTGGTATTCCGGGGTTTTTAAGGATGCTAAATACGTTGGTCTAATTATTTTTTGTATATTTCATAGAGGGCGCTAGTTATGCTACAATCCTATTACATTTTAAGTTCAAATTTTTTACCATATGGGCTCCAATTTCTAATGTACAATTTTATTTTCTAAAAATAATGTACTTTTGTTAGATCTTCCTAATGTGGACGGTTTTCGAGGAAAAAGACTTTTAATTAAACTCTTACAATATTACGATGTATAAAATAAGTGTGTATAATTAGTCATTACTAACTACAGTCACTAACAGTCACTAAAATTTTGATATAAGATTTATAGAGTTTAAAATATAACTAAAAATGTATGCGTTGTTTATGAGACATGGTGCGATTTCTTAATTAGGTGATCGTGTACACGAAACCACTTTTTACGACATTTTTTGTTGGTCGGGATCTTTTTAATTTCGAAAAAATAAAAAAAAAATCTATTTTTATGAGAATATGTTTTTTAAGGTCTCCACCGTTATGTCTCAAAAAATAATTGGACTATCAGACTATTTTTTTTTTAATTAAAGCAGACACAATAGCGCTTTTAACAGTACTAATGGATTTTATAAAACTCGCTTTTTCATTTCGCTAAAAATCAGGAAAACTTAATAATCATCAGAATATTATTAAGTTTTTAGCACAATGGAGACTTTTAATTAAACTCTTACAATATTACGATGTATAAAATAAGTGTGTATAATTAGTCATTACTAACTACAGTCACTAACAGTCACTAAAATTTTGATATATGGTTTATAGAGTTTAAAATATAACTAAGAATGTATGCGTTGTTTATGAGACATCCATCAATAAGTTTTGTCATAAACCTATTTCGAGAAAAGTCACTTACTTTATATACCGCCACCGTAATATTGTAGTACATTTTTAGAAAATAAAATTGTACATTAGAAATTGGAGCCCGAATGGTAAAAACTTAACCTTAAAAAATTATAACCTCAAATATTCTGCTTCCACCTCTGTATATCAAACGTGGTTTCATGGAACAGTTCATTAAAGCTTTCGACAAAGATGTAGTGCTTGTCATGTCATTTAAGTAAAAGTGTTTTCAGTTGATTTTTTAGTTTTACTCGAAAATGAAATTAAAAATATTTTTTGAAGTTTAACACGCTTTTTTAATGAACCGCCCTAGATAAAAACTTTATAGGAAAGACTCCCCTTAAAATTCACCAACGAATATTTTTGATCACCATTTGTGAATCACCCTGTATATTATACTTCAAACTGATATATGTTTTAAAAAAATTACAACTGACTAGTAGCTTGTGTTAAATGTGACCAGGAAGATCTTGTAGTAGTTGCACTCGAATTAAAGAACATCCTGTAAAACATGTTTCATAATTTCACTTAGGTACGGAAAGACCGTATCACCAACACTGTTAAATTTTCTGTAGACGTAACCATTTTATATTTAAAAAGATATATTGCTTTTCACGTTATTTAAAATGAAAATATTTAAATACGTTTTTTTAACGTTTGATATTTATCTACACTGATTGGAAAACATTCGTAAATATAGATTTTATTACAACTCCAAACTATCTTAAGAGCATCGAGGCGCTCTAATCGAAAAGTTAGTAGCTAATTTGATACAATTCGTTTCTGTACACCCACATTTCTATCCATGTACAAACAAAAAGAAATGACAGCAATTTGATCGTGACCTCGTACCAGTTGGGAAAATTGCATTCTCTTTGTGAATTAGTTCTACTCTGAAACATTTTTAATCTCGGCGCTTCATCTTTTTTCAAAGTTCCGAGGATATGAAACGAATCGACCTAATTTCCGGTGGGGAATATAATTATTTATATCTCACTTAAAATTACTTGAAATTTAAACATAGCGCGAAAATTACCATTTTATGATTGGATTTGACACATCTGGACAATGCAATACAGGGTGTCCCGGAAATGGTGGGCAATCTCTCGGATATGGATAATGAGAAAATAATGTCACAAGTTCATATAAAATTTTTCCTCCGGGCTCACCCTGTACAGTTATTAGCTCTTGAAGTTGAGAATTAAAAATGGTTTTTTTGCTGTAACTTTTGTATTTTTCAATAAATTTTGAAAATTTTTTGGCTGGATCTATAATTTTTGAAGCTGCTTTGGATGATAATATGAAATCCTCGATAATAATTATGGGGGCCCGGGGGCAAAGCACCCCCCACCAAAATTTCTAGAAAAAAAATTTTTGTTCCACTATACCCCAAATTTTCCATCATTTTATAAAAATTTATGGTATTTTACGTAAAAAAGGTATACTTGTTGAATATCCATAAAATAGATATTTTTTGAGATAAACCCGTTTAAAGAGGAAGGTACCATTTAATTTGAGACATTTTATTTAATTGAAACACAGATTTAATCGTGGTTGGCTTTGACATGTCAGAGTATGCCAAAGGCAATTAAATTGTCAAACTTGTCAAATACGTAGTTTTAAATCTAAGACTCATCTCATAACTCATAATTTGTTATAAAATATGGAGTATTCCAATGAAGAATATGCTGATATGCATTTAATGTACGGGCGGGCTCTTTGTAATGCTTCGGCAGCAAGAAGATTTTATCAGCATTCTTATCCTAATAGAAGGATTCCGGATCGCAAAACTTTCGAACGTATTGATCAAAGATTAAGAGAAACTGGTAAAATACGATTACTATTATTAAACAAAATGGATATTAAATAAATTTTAATGTCTTTAGGTCAGTTTGCTCCTGTTACTGCAAACAGGGGTGCCCCGCGAACAGCACGTACAGTTGAAGTAGAGGAAAATATACTGGACGAAGTTGCTGCTCATCCAACAGTTAGCATTAGGTCATTATCTTCTTTTACCAATGTTCCAAA